ACAGGAGCTCAACCCAGTGCTCAAGTTTAGACTTTACCCATTTTTTTTTGAGATATTCTTTGGGCACAACCAGGCAGGCTGGGCTTAACACACACTCCAGTGGCAAGGGGCAACTGTCCAGACCCAGACCCGGAGCAGAGTGTCCAGGCTGGCTCATTTTCATTGCTAAATCCCACAAAAAGCATCCACAAGCAAAACAGAGAAAGGAACTTGGAACAGAAGAATTTGAAAGCCTAAACAAAGCTCAAACCACAAGTGTTTGAGCATTGAGGGAAAAGCTGCCTGCCCTTACCTCCTTTTCCAAAGGACATCATGCCATGTTCTTATTTTACCTCCTGCAGCAGTGACAGCCTTCCCAGCCTCACGGCAGCACCAGTGTCTTGCTGAAAGCTCCAAACCACACGCCACAATCTCAGCAGATGCCTGCACTCACTCGTGCAGCGCCCGCCTGCCCCAGCGCCGATCAGTTTGCTAATGCAGCTCCTTACTTTTCATGTCAGTGCTCCTGTCCAGTGCCAACTCGGGAGCTGAGCCTGGTTAAACACTCCTGATACCTGTTGGAAGACAGTGACTTGGCTTATTTTCCACTTACACCTTTCCCCGGAGAAGCTGTAGCTGTCAGGAGCCTGGATGCCAGGGAAAGTCCGCAAAATCTCATGCAGTCTCTACCTGAGCTGAGGAGGAGGAGCTGGGCATGAACTGGAACTGTTTGGACACCAAAAGCACTTGGCAAAATAGAAACAAAATGCAACTGGTGCCCACGACACACAGGCAGCCAATCCTCCAGCTCCAGCCTCCAGTTTTCCCTGGAACACTTTCCCAGGGATGTCAGCCTGGGGGGCTCAGCCAGGCCCCTGCTGCCAGCCCCCCAGGGATCACAGCCCCAGGGATCACAGCCCCAGGGATCAGTCCCAGGGATCACAGTCCCGTTCTCCCGGGGCTGTTGGGAGGCTGGGGCTGCCTTTAGGGAGGTTGGCCACTGGGAGACTTGGCTGCCAGACTGCTAGCACTGGAAAAGGCCACGCAGTCATGCTTTTGGAATGCTCCCCTGCTCCTAAGACATTACACAATTATTTCCCCTCCCCACAAACCCCCCTAATATAAATGTTTAAGAATGAGCTCAGCAGTAAGGAAAGGGAACTTTTTTCCCTCTTTCTGAAGAAAACACAGAGCAGCCACTCCATGGGCAGGGCTGTACACAGGGACACTGCTGGAGTGGGGTTGTGGGGAGGGATGTGGGATGGGGCAGCAGCCCCAGGCTCTCATCCCAGCTCAGGCACTGCCGGGGGTCAACTGCAAGCTGGGACCCACAGCCCCAAGGCCACCCTCAAGGAATGACAGCCTGCAGCGACTGAGGCACAGCTGACCCATCCCTCACCACACCCAGGGACCCCCACCCACCCCACCCTGCCCCGCTGCACCCCACCCAGCAGCCCTGCTGGGCCACCCCCCACCCTATGGCCCACTGCCGCACCCCTGCACGGACCCCACAGCCCACAGCCCCAGCTCTGAGCCACACCTCAGCAGGATCGGTGACCCCACATCCCAGCAGTAACCCCAGTAACCCCACATCCCACCGGTAACCCCAGTAACCCCACCTCTGAGCCCACACCTCACCAGGATCAGTGACCCCACATCCCACCGGTAACCCTAGCTGTCAGTCCCTCCAAACCCATGGAGCAAACCCTGCTCCCAGCTCCCCCAAGCCGCACCAGTAACACAGCCCTGTTTGTCCGGACTCCACCAGTAACTCGGACCCATCACAGGCAGTAACCCAGCCCGCAGCTCCCCGGATCGCAGCTCTGCCCCACTCCTCACCAGAGCCCCCGCCCCGGCAGTGCCCCCAGACCCGCACCTCTCTCCGCCGCTCCCGTCCCGCTCCGCTCCGGCCCCGCTGCGCTGCTCCGGCACCGCCCCGAACGGGGCCGCCCGCGGGGGGCGGAGCGGCTGCGGGGGCCGTGCCGAGCCGTGCCGTGATGGGCTGTGCCGTGCGGGGCTGTGCCGTGCGGGGCCGTGCCGAGCCGTGCCCCTATGGCCCACTGCCGCACCCCTGCACGGACCCCACAGCCCACAGCCCCAGCTCTGAGCCACACCTCAGCAGGATCGGTGACCCCACATCCCAGCAGTAACCCCAGTAACCCCACCTCTGAGCCCACACCTCACCAGGATCAGTGACCCCACATCCCACCGGTAACCCTAGCTGTCAGTCCCTCCAAACCCATGGAGCAAACCCTGCTCCCAGCTCCCCCAAGCCGCACCAGTAACACAGCCCTGTTTGTCCGGACTCCACCAGTAACTCGGACCCATCACAGGCAGTAACCCAGCCCGCAGCTCCCCGGATCGCAGCTCTGCCCCACTCCTCACCAGAGCCCCCGCCCCGGCAGTGCCCCCAGACCCGCACCTCTCTCCGCCGCTCCCGTCCCGCTCCGCTCCGGCCCCGCTGCGCTGCTCCGGCACCGCCCCGAACGGGGCCGCCCGCGGGGGGCGGAGCGGCTGCGGGGGCCGTGCCGAGCCGTGCCGTGCGGGGCTGTGCCGTGATGGACTGTGCCGAGCCAGCCGAACCGTGCGGGGCCGTGCCGTGATGGGCTGTACCGAGCCGAGTCGAGCGGAACAGAGCCGAGCCCTTTCCAGCGCTGCCCCCGCCCCTCCGGGACACCGGAGCCCCCCAGTGTTCCCCCCGGAGCCCCCGGTGTGTGTTCCCCCCGGAGCCCCTCGGTGTTTGTTTCCCCCGGTGTTTGTTCCCCCGGAGCCCCCGGTGTTTGTTCCCCCCGGAGCCCCTCGGTGTTTGTTTCCCCCGGTGTTTGTTCCCCCCGGAGCCCGCGGTTCGGGGTTTCACCGGTTCGGGTTCCCGCGGCCCGGTGGGAGGGGGCGACCCCGGCTGCCGGGAGGGCTGAGCTGCTGCCCTCAAACCCCGTGCCCGGTTCCGGCAGCCGGACCGACCCCGGTGCTGGGGCCGTGCCCTGTCCCCAGGGTCCCTGCAGGGGTGGCAGAGCGGGGCCGTGCCGTGCTGTGCCCCGTTAAGGTGACCCCAGTGCCACGGGGGGGGCCCGGCTCCCCGTGCCCACCACGGGCTGTGGGAGGGGGCACAGGCGGCTGCTCCCCCCCATCCAGCTGCAGCCAGGGAAAGGCAGCCCCAGGAGCCTGGCCCGGACCCAGGCTCATAAACCGCTGCTATTTTAAGGGCTTGCAGACTATTTTTCTTTATTTATCAAGCCCCAGGCCAGGAGCGGGTTCCAAAGGAAATGTTTCCTTAGTAAAAAAGGGAACCACAGAGGAAGCTTTAAATACAGCAGCCACTGCCTCCTTGTCTTATCCAACAGCCGGGCAGTGACCTGGAAAAGCAGAGCCGGTTCTCAGCCACCAGCATGAAAAGGAATGTGCCAGGGGAACAGGGCTGTGCAAACCCGTGAAGAGAGCACCGGGACTAGCAGGGGTACCCGGTGGATGTTTCCAGCAGGCAGCCCACCCTCGAGGCAGAAGCAGCTGCTGCTGGAGTGCCTGAACTCCGGGGAGGGACGGTCACATTCCTCGGAGCCGCAGCCTGCCCCACTCCCTCCCCCGCAGACAGGAAAACCATTATCCCTTCTCCCTTCCATTCCGTGAGTGGTGTTCCTGTTCCCACCGGACTGGCCACTGCTGTGCCTCTCAGCCAGATCCAGGGATCCAAACCCCCCAGCCAGATCCAGGGATCCAAACCCCCCACGCTGGCAGCACCCCAGCAGCTCCCCCTGCCCGAGGGTGCTGGATGGATGCTGCACAGGCTCTGTCCAAGGGCAGATGGACAGCAGCACACGTGGCTCTGCCGGTTTGCCTGCCTACATAAATTAATCAGAGCTAATTGGCTTTTCGGTAAGTCGTCTTTGCGGGAGCTCTGCAAAGAAAGACTTTGAAGTAGGGCTGCGAGTGGCAAAGTCTTTATTTAAACACACAGTGCTACACAAGGACAGCTCCCAGCCCCAGCAGCACTCCCTTCAGCATGGGTGCCAGCTGGTTCAAATCTTGTGCATAACTTTCACTTTCCATTGTGTGCCCCCAGTTTATTTACATCCCACTGGTTACAGGATACAAACAACATTCACTAGAGGTGACACTTGATGGGAGCTGGCTGCACCCAGTGACAGGAGACAAACTTCTGGTGCCACAGAGCCTTTCCCAAACAAGGGACCATGGCCCAGCTCTCCCCTCCCCACACTGCCAGGATGGGACCATCCCTCACAGTTTAGGACTCTGCAGCGGTCTGGGATGTGGATGCTCCAGGTTAGAGACGTGTGTGATGCAAAAATCCAGTGCTCAGCTCCCCTCTGCGCCAGTTCTGAGATCATTAAGGAAAATATGGGAGCTGTCTTTCCCTGCCCTGGTCACACCAAGCTGCTTTTCCTGTGGGTTCCCAGCCCTGGGCTAAGCAGATCCAGTGCAGTTAAGCTGTTAAGCTCACCTGAATAGGGCTGCTCTGTGTGAGGCTGCTAACTCAGAGCCACTCCAAGATGCAGACATACATTCATAGACTCCCCTCTATGAGAGTCTTTTACCAAGAAAGGATTTAGACATTTCCCAGCTCAGCTCTGCAGTTAATAAATAATTGGCTCCAGAAGCACTGCAGCCACCCAAGGCATGAGAGGACGGGGCAGAGCCTGTGGCACAGCCAGTGCTGGTGCAATTGCTTTTCCCTCCTCAGGGCTCTGGGTGCACAGCAGAGCTTGGCCACTGCTCCAATCTCCCACACTGGAGGCTGAGACAAAGTCTGTGACAGAATGAAGGTGTGAGGGGCTGAAAATGGGGAGCACAAGGCTGGGATGGCCATTGTGGGGCCACACTGGACTTGTGCCAGGCTTGGCACTGCCCAGCTGCCTGTGGGACTTTACTCCCAGTCTCATCCCATCTGAGCCCCAGCTCCCACCTCCGACAGCAGCTCCAGTGTCGCTGGCCAAAGCACCCCAGGGCAGGAGCTGGGGGTGGCTGCAGCAGGTGTGAGTGCCCCAGCAGCCCCACGGCTGTCACACGGGGCTGCAGTCAGCACAGCCATGGCAAGAGGCAAAGGACATGCTGAGGGGCCAAGGAGCCTTCAGGCTTTTCACAGCATTGAGAAAGTAGCAGCATGAAAACATCCCTTGAGCCCAGTGCTCACACTCTATCCAAGGCCTCTCCATCTCCACCTGGGACTGGGATGCAAGCACGTGGAGGGGGATGCTCTGGACAGGGGCACTGAGGCTCCAGGTTTCTTACACTTCTTTCAGTTGGCTCAAGAAACGAGTGCTTAGAGGAGGCATGGCCCTGAGGTAGCCCCAGCGTCCCTCTCCACAGCGTCTCCACCCAGGCAAGCTGAGCCCCGCTGCCCCAGGCTCGTTCAGCATCACGTGTAGTTGCCAGGGCCACCCAGGGGGATCACAAAAACAGAGATGTCATCTCCAGAGCCCAGCTTGTCATTGGCCAGCCGCCAGCCACGCTCCTTCAGCACGCCCCGTGAGCGCACCACCAGCTCCTGGGCCACCATGGTGTACCTGCACAGCAGAGAGAGCACAGCTCAGCACTGACCCCAGACCCCTGAGAGAGCACCCTGGCAAGGAGGGAGCAGCTAGAGCTGCAGGAAAGGGTCCCTTGGAGAGATCAGGCTCAGATGTGCCCATCCAGGGGAGCAATGCACTCTGTGGAGCCCAGAGGGATGCGTGGCCACAGCACCGCTCCGAGGAGCCAGGCCAGGGGAGGTGCTGGGGTGCACAGCGTGCCTGTCCCCCTGCCCACCTGCACGGGTCGTTGGGCTCGTAGCTGGCCAGCACCTCCATCACCACTCCTGCCACCTCCTTGTCATTGGTGACGTCCCAGAGCCCGTCGGTGCCCAGCACCAGAACGTCATCAGGGCAGTGCTCGTACTGCGTGAGGTCATAAACCCTGACCTGGCAGAAAACGGGGCAAGACGCGAGGGTGAGAGGCAGAGAGGCAGAGGAGGCTCCTGCTGCCCTGGCCACGTCGTGGGTCTGGGCCTGCCGAGTGGCTCTGGCCTTTGCAGGGACCCCTGGGTGCCAAGCTGCTGGCAGCCAGGCTTACCTCGGGGAAGCAGGACAGGAAAGGCTTGATGTGGATGTTGGAGCTGAACACCTTGAGGTCGTGGTCTCCCAGGCCCCTTGTGACCCCAATGGTGGCCATCATCCGAGCCTGGAGAATGGTGGAATCAAAAGAGGACTGTAAGCAGCTTTATCTCCAATTCTATTCCCAGCTGAGAATTGGTGATGACAGCACTCCCAAAAATGGTCTAGAGTCCCCCAAAACAGTGAGAGCAGGCAGGAAACAACCTTGCCAAGCTTCTGCCACAGTACTTTACCTTTTTGCCTTCCCCAAAGATAAGTGGAAACTTCAGGTCATCCTCTTCTATCTTTTTGTAAGCCCTGGTTAAAATAAGCCAGAGACAAGGTGTCAGCAGGTGAAGCACCTCCCTGACCACTTGGGACCTGGGCACCGGGTGTGCCAGAGCCCCTGCCCATGGGATGGCATGCCAGAGATGAGCCCAGTGCCACCAGGGGTTGGGGGTTACCAGCCATTCATGTCCTGGTCCCTGTAGAGCATCTTCTTCCCCAGCTCCTTGGGCTGCACCCTGCGGGGGAACTCCAGGGCCGTGAACTCCTTCCCCAGCAGCTCGGGCCTGAGCACAGCCTGCAGGAAGGAGTGCTGGCTCAGCCCCAGGGCTGGGAGAGCAGGCTCTGTGGATCCAGCCCTGCCCAGAGCAGGATCCACATCCACAGGCACTTCAGCTGCAACATTCCTTGGTGGGAGAGCATCGGCTGCTCCGGAGCCACTCGGATAGGTGCTGCTAAAGCAGCTTCAAACTGCCACCTGTGCTAAGCCAGAGGGGAAACTGGAGCTGAGGACAGCCATGCCAGCACTCAGCAAGGAGGTGAAGCTTTTGCATGGAGAGTTCTGGGAAATAAAGATCTCCAAGAGGGATCAAACCCCAGCACATTCCAGGAGAAGCTGGAATTTACCAAGAAAGAGCCATAGCTGCAGATCTCCAGGATCCCAGTTCAGTGCAGGGCATGGCAATCACCCAAGGAAAAGAGTGATGGGTCTCTTCTGAAACAGAGTCCCAGCTGTGACCGTGACAAGGGACAAGCAGCAGCACAGAGCCCTGCCCAGGGCAGCCCCAAGCCCTCATGGAGCACAGTGTGGAGGGGACCAGGGAGTGCTGGAAAATGCTGAAGGGGAAAGAAAAGCAGGAAGAGAAGAGGAGATCCCATGGGAAGATGGGATGGCAAGGGCTTGGCGCAGAGGAGACCCCCAGCCCACTCTGGGGAGCCCTGACCACAGCCTCAGCATCATGTGGCAGAACAGCGTGTGCCTGTCCCCAGCCTGTGCCCTGCCCCTCGCAGCCAGCTCAGGAGGATTCTGATCACAGCAGTTCCCTCCTCTCGGTCATTCAAAAATAGATTCCAGAAAAAACGCCTCAGTGTTTTTCCAAGTACATTGCAAGCCAGGAAATTTCATCCAGCAAGACCTTCTCCAACACAAACTCCTCCTCCCCTGTGCTGCTCTCAGAGAGGTCTTTATAACCTTAAAGAGTCTCCCTGGGTGGCACCAGGGGGTTCATCCAGGAGAGGGACAGAGAGCTTTCAGGGCAAAAGACAAAAACCCTGATGTTGGCAAACATCAGCTATGACTCTCTGGGGAGCAGCCAGGAAAGAAAGTAGGGCTGAGCAGGAGCACTGCAGCTCCTCTGACACAGCAAACCAGGCTCTGCCAGCCACAAGATGCCCCCACGCCAGCTCCCTGCATCCCAGTGCCTCCTCCCATCCCAGGAAGCAGTCTGGGAGGGACGAGTGCCAGCAGCAGGTCCCAGCCATGGGGCTGCCCTCGGGTCAGAACCCACCGTGGCAGCAGCCCAGCAGGCAGCACAGGGGACTGGGAAGAGGCCAGGAGGTGTTTCAGCAGGAATGAGGTTAGAAGAAAGGTCTTTCTTACTAAAAACTGCAGCCTCTGCCTCTCTGTCTCTGGAGTAAACTCCCTGGACATTGGAATGATTTCCCCATTACGGATGATAATGGCCCTGCAATGAAACATGGAAGGATGAGATTAGAGAGAAGGAGATTTGGCAGAGGAGCTGAGCCTGGCTCTCCAGGGCTGATTCCCGGGACTAGTGCAACCCCTTCCCCTCTGCTGCCCACCCTTCTGCCCGCCTGAGGTGGGAGCTGCTTCCTGGATTCACTGCTCGCCCTGGGCAGGGCATGGCATCTCCCTCCTGTGCAGGAAGGAAGGGAAAATGGAGAGAAGCATGGGGCAGAGGGGAATGAAGCAGACCAAATCAAAGGACAGAATGTGGTTAGAAAAGGAGCAGCACAAAGGCTCCCTTTAGAGGGGAGCTGCACACAGCAGGGGCAGAAATTGCCTGCAGCAGGAGACAGGGGCACATGCCCATCCCACACCAGCACTGCCACTTGCTGCTGGCTCTGCTCTTACAGTTTAATGTCTCAAGAAAACATAAAGGTCTGATTATGAGATGTTTCTGGATGTCATGGTAGGCCCAAGGATCTCCAGCACTGGTGGCTGTGAGTCTCCTCTGGTGATGTGAGGCCAGGCTGGGCTCAGCTCTGGCAGTGTCTGATGCCTGAGAAGGCAATGTAGGCTGTTCCAGAGGCACAGTTACAACCTCAGGACTGTGCATGCTGACATCCTGCATGGCCACTGCTGGCTGCTGCTGCCATGGAGGGGGACCTGCACCCAAAACGAGGGATCTCCTTCTCTGTCCCAGAGCTGGGAGCACATCCAGCCCCAGCCAAGTGACCAGAGCCTGTGTTTGCTGGTCTGACATTGCTGAGGACAAGGTAACCTGCCGTAAATACCCAGAGCAACTGCAGCTGCCCCGTTCTTGGAAATGTTCAAGGCCAGGTCAGACAGGGCGTGGGACAACCTGCTCTGCTGGAAGGTGTCTGCAAATGGCAGGAGGTGGAACAAGATGAGCTTTAAGGTCCTTTCCTACCCAAACCATTCTCTGATGCAATAATAAATACAAGGCAGTTCCAACCAGCTTCACCTGCCGAGTCACCTTTAGTGTAAGGTGGACCTGCCCTCCTTTGCGTGGGGCTGGGGGCACACACAGGTGCAGTGACAGTAGCCCACCCCTGGAAATACACACAGCAATGAAAGTCCTTGGGCTCCAAGCTCCCACTGCACATAGATTTGTGTCCTTCTCCTGAAACAGGTCACTGCTATGAAGTGTACTCTAAAATGACTTCTTGCACATTTTTGAAAGCTTTGCTGAGCGCAATTTTCACTCTCCAACCTGCAGCCCAGGCCAGCACCAGCAGCAGGGGCCAGGGCACCCAGAGCCATCTGGGTAGCAGAGAGGAAAAGGAAAGAAGGGAGCACATCCCAGATTTTGGGAGGCAATTCTAGCCCTACCTGTGTACCTGGCAAACACAGAGATCACAGCAGAGTGCATTGTCCCTGGGCCATGGAGCAGGCAGGGGGTGACTCTGCCCAGTTCTGCCACCTTCACCCTCCCCCAGACAGGCATGGATCTGGGTGTTCCTCACCCCACTCTACTGGGGTGTCCCCAGCCTCAGAGCAAAAGCTGAGGGCTGCCCTGTGGGGCTGTACCTGCTGTCACCAGCGTTGGCCACGTAGAACTTGCCCATGAGGTAGACGGCAGCCAGGGCACAGCACCCCCCGGGCAGGTGCTGGGACGCCCGCTCGCGCTCGATCTGCTCGTCCTGGGGAGACACAGAGGCTGCAGGCTAGGGGGACAGCCCCACACAGCACCTGGCTGCTCCAGCAGCCCCTCAGCTCCAGGCGGGAAGCAGAGACCAGCCAGGGTACCTCCCCCCACACTGCCACGGAGCAGCTGCAGGGCTTGAGGGGCCAGGGGTGTTTTGGGGCAGCCAGGGACGTGGCTTCACTGGGGCAGCAAAGAGCAATACAGGAGGGGAGCAGGTGGGCCTCTGGAACAAAGTGCAGTGGAGTCTTCTGCACCACACAGGCCCAGAGCCCAAAGCCTGTGCATTCTGTAAGCTCAAAATGCAGAGCATCAAGAGCCCTCTCTGAGTCCATCATGCCTGGAGCCCTCCCTGCAGTCCCCTCCTTGCTGCAGAGCTGCCTTTCAGCAGACACAGAGAGCAAAGAGGTGCTCTAGGTGATCCCACAGGCAGAGGATGCTCACCATGTGCTTAAAGGCATTCTCAATGGCACCGATCACCAGGCTCTCATGGGACACTGCTTTCTCCAGGTGAAACCGTGGCACAGCATCGTTCAGGACCTCCCCACACTCCTCGCCATGGGACATCTGGTTTGGATCTGCAGGACCGCCCTGTGCGTCGTGTGGGAGGCAGATGGGAGGTGGGGAGGGGTCCTGCAGGATCTCCACGAGGTCCCGGAGCTGCTCACAGATGTGCAGGTGCAGCCTCTCCGAAGCCATGACAGCAGCACCGCTGCCCGCGTGGCCATCAAACAAGGCCCAGTAGTGGAAATAAAAACCTTTCCTGCCCTGCAGGGAGAAGAGGGAAGGTTAAATGAGCCTGCAAGGCAGCAGATGGCGTGGGGAATTCAGAGCAGCTGGGGCTACCAGCTGAGGACAGCGACACGAGTGTCACAGGTCTCAGTTCAGGCAATGGGGCAGCTGACCAAGGGTGCCTGGACACAGCTGGTCCCTGGCTGCAGCCCAGCCCTGTGTCACACACCTGGTGCCCCTGGCAGCCTCAGAACGGGGGGCACCACGATGCCAGCACAGCAGGCACCTCTGCAGCCCAGCAGGGCATGTGGCACCACTGGTGTCCCTGGGCCAGCCCTGGTGGTGCCACAGGGGGATGGAGGATGGTAGGAGCAGGCAGAGAGAAGGGCCACGAACCAAGGGAATCCCCAGTGTGCACACACTGCCATGTGTCCCATCCCGTGCCCTGCTGCTGGGCATCCCCCCGTCATGCCCCTGCTTGTGAAGCACCACAGCTCTCACCCCATCCAGCTCCCCGCTGCCTTCCCTGGACGGCAGCCAGCCCCTTGGGCTGGGCCTCTGCTCCACAAACACCACCTCACAGCACGCCTGGTCCTCATTGTGCTGGCTCTTCCCTGCGTTTATCACCCTGCCAGGAGGAAAAAAGGTGTAAAGGCCCTTTCTTCCACATCATGCTCCAGCAAATGCCATCCCGCAGCACTTCTTCCCCCCATGACCACCCCACCCCTCCACTCATGCCCCCAGAGATGCCAGGGATGCCCTGCACGGCGCTCCTGTCCTGTCCCAGGTGTCTCAGACCAGGTGTGTGGGTTGATCTGGGGCCAGGAGCAGCACTGAGTCCCACCCACAGCTGGGTCCAGGGGGGAGCAGTTGTCCACACACCTACCAGGGGAAGTGATCAGAAATAAACTGGGTTTGCTGAAGGTCCCTGGCACTGCCCCAAGCAGAATAATTGTCCCAAAACCTGTATCAGCCTCAGCTATGCACCCCTGGGACACACAGAGAGAATCACAGCCTCGCCCATGTCCCATCACCTCCTGGGGGGAGCAGGGGGCTCGGGGGAGGAGGGGAGAAGGTGATGACGGTGAAACCAGCAGAACTTTTGCAGAAAGATTCGCACTGACTTTTCCCAGCCTGTGCTGACACAGCAGATTTCAGGTCTAGATTGCAGAACGGGCTCACAGGAAGAAGCTGTAAACACAGCAGGGTGATTTTTCTTTGGGCTGACTTTCCAAGTGGTTTGCAGAAAGAACTCTTGGGACACCAAAAAGGGGTTTTTTTCACTCTGGGTACGCCTACCCCACTATCTCCACGCACAAATCAACATCTCATAAAGCTCTCTAGGATATCGGGAAGATCAGCTTGAGGAAGGGTGTGGGAGTGGCTGACAGCAATAAGCAGCAAAAGCCTTCACAGTCCGACCTTCCCGCCCGCTTTCAGTTAGGGCTGCAACTCGCAGCTAGTGAAAGAAGAACACAACCAGGTCCTTGAAGGGGAAGTCTCAAGCAGTCTCACCCCCAAGAAATCCCCAGCTCCCTGCTCCTCATGAGTCCCACGCCCTCGGTACCCATCGATGACAGCGGCTGTTGTGCAGAAAGCGCAGAAAACCAAACGGACAGAAGAGCCTAAACCCCTCGGGGATGGGCGCAGCCCCTCGCTGATGCTCCCCCATCACGGGCACCCCCGCGCCCGCTCCCCGCTGCCGCCGCTGCTGCAAAGGGGACAGGCGCAGCTCACCGCCCGCCGCGACCCACTTTCGTCCCCAAGGCTGCCACCGTGCCCTCCCCGCCGCTCCCGGCCCCGCTCACTCCGCGTATCCCGTGCTCCAGGGCAGGCGGCGGCGCCCGTCGCGGGGGCTCTGCACCGCCCGCCCCGCGTGGTCGTCGGCGCGGCGCAGCTCCTCGGGGGTCAGCTGCAGGAAGGCCGGCCGGCAGAAGGCGGCTGGCGGCGGCGATCCCCGGGCGGCCCCGGCGCCCCGCGGTTCTGCGGGGGGCTGCGCGCCCGGCCCCGCGCCCAGCCCCGCCGCCAGCTGCGCCACGGCAGCGCGCACCCGCAGCAGCATCCCGAGCCGGGCCGAGCCGAGCCAAACCGAGCCGAGCCGAGCCGAGCCCCGCCTCCCCCCGCAGCGGTACGGGGGGGGAAGCAGGCGCGGCAGCTCAGCGCCGCAGCGCGTACGCGCATCTCCTGCCGCCGGCGGGGAACGAGCCCTCCCGGGCAATGAACCCCCGCAGCCGGTGGGGAACGAGCCCTCCGGGCAATGAACCCCCGCAGCCGGTGGAGAACGAGCCCTCCGGGTAATGAACCCCCGCAGCCGGTGGGGAACGAGCCCTCCGGGCAATGAACCCCGCCGTTATCCCGCAGCCGGGTGGAGGTGGAGGTCGAGCTCTCCCGGCGAGGGACCCGGCACCCAGCCGGGAGCCCGGGGCACACGAACCATCCCGACGCAGAAAACGCTCTGGGAAAGTTTTCCCGGCTGGGGCAGGCTGGCCCTGTCCACGCGATTTGCCGGCAGGTGAGTTTCCTGGCTGGATCGTCCCACGGTTCCAGCAGAGCCGCCTACTCCGGGACAGCATCCCCGTCCAGCGCCGGGCGCTTTGCCCCCCCTGCCGCGCTCTTCAGCCCACGCCGGCCGTTCCGGCCTGTTAATAACCCGCAGAGCTATTAACAGCCCAGAGGAGCAGGGACAGACACACCGTGAGAGCGCTGAACGCCGAACCGCTCCCTCCCTTTCACCCAGGATGCTGCGCTCCAGCGTGAGCAGGATGCGGATTTAGCTGGTGCAGAACAGCACATCCTCCCTGGCTGGGAGGGGAAGAGTCGCCAGCGTAAACACCATCGCCTGCACAGCCTGACCTAAGCACCTCCCTGCCTCTGGGCTCCTGTGACAGAAAAAAAAAACTGATGAAAAACACAGTACTTGCCTACTGTAAAGCTAAATTGAGGCTGTTTCTTAAAATTCGTGTGCCCCCGTGCCTCAGTTTCACAGAGGAACCACTGATTCCAGTCAGCACGGGGATTTTGCATTGTAAGTTACAAGCAGAAGCAGCTCCGAGAAGCCCTCCAGGCTTTAGCCCTCTTCAGCCAGAGATTTCACACTGTACTAGGTTATTAGGACAGAAGTGACTCAGTGGCACCTATATTCCCGATTCTAATCCCAAGATTTAAGGTCTTCAGTACACTTTAAAGCTCTTTCAGTACCCTTCAGGACCTGGTCTAGTGGGCAGCATCCCTTCCCATGGTGAGGGGTGGTACTAGGTTATCTTTAAGGTCCCTTCTGGGGGGTTGGAAATACTCATCTTTAAGGTCCCTTTCAAACCAACCCTTCCAGCCTGAGGCCAACTCCCCTCTAGCTCCTCTCCAGCATTCATGGCTCCTCTCCTCAGCTCCTGATGCCTTCCCCTCACAGCACCCCTGTCCAGCTGCTGGTCACACTGGCCTGCTTTTAGATATTCTGAGTGCAACATCACCGTGTTATTAAGGCTGAAAATCACTGGATTCTCCAGCAAATGCGTCTCCCGCTGTGGGACTGCCAATGTGCCCCATCCTGCTGAGTCACCAGGATGCTTTCCTTGGAAAGAAGCAATTGGCAGTGTCCAGACTGACTTCTGTGACCTGCTCGATATTTGTTGTTTCCGTTATGTTGAGCACAGCGTGGAAAGAATGGTCTGACAAATAAACACGTTCCTGCAGGAATGCTCCCTGAAACAATGCCGTGTTAAAGACTGTTTTCCAAGAAAGAGGCTCCATTTCCCCCTATTCACCCTCCCAGACAAACCCATGTAGAGTTTTCTCCTTATCTTCGAGGCTGATGTTCCTCTTCACAAGGTTGCCTGGCACAAGGCCTGGGGATGCAGATGTTGCAGAGTGAGTCAGAACAATGCCAATAAACAGCCATTTCAGGTGCCAGCAGCTCTGCCCTTCTCTTCCCATCCCTCTGGGGGTCCTGCTTGGATGTTCATGCTTTCCCTGCCTCCCCATCTCACCCAGAGTTACCCCTGAGCATGGGGGTGTCAGGCACTCACCTTCCCTGGACACAGCTTCAGGTGAAGCACTGTAGCACACTGCCATGATAAACAGTGATTTAAAAATCAGTAACACAAGAATTAGTCTTAAGTTATGTTATTTTAGTTAATTTCTCATGCAAGTGCTTAGCACTGAAAAAGCCTTTCTAAGTTTCATCTTTCATCTATGTTGCTGAGCCCCAGAGGAGGTAGGATGGAGCCAGGGATATTTCTTTGTGAAAGAATGACATGTTGGTTGCACTTAAGCCAGAACAGAAGTAAATTAAACATCTAGATCATAAAAGTACCAGAGGATGTTTTAAACCTGGCTCTTTGCAGCACTGCATTAGTAGACCGTAGAGCCTGACTGTGTAATGAGTAATATATTAATTTATAATTAGCATAGTACAGTGAAGCTCAGCAAATAGCTCTGTGCACTCTGGATAATTCATCAACAGAAGAAGTGGTTCTTAATGGTTTCCAAGGTTTGTATGTCCCCTGTAATTGGGAAGTTCAGCATTTATTGTTGTTTCTTTGAAGGGATAATTTGATTGCAACCACACGTCTTTATTCCCTGTCTGTTTCTGCTGGAGTGCAGAGGAGCCTTTGGAGTGTTGCTGCTCTGGGTATGTCTGTGACCTCTCTGCAGGTGAGTACATCAGTGTTTTGCAGAGCAGACAACCTGGATTTGGTGCAGATTCTCAGAGGGTTTTGCTCTTTTCCTCCTGCAAAAGGGAGGGGGGAAGGGGGCACATTAACCTCCTTGAGTCACTTGGCTTTTCCCTCTCTGCAGCTTTAAAATCTTCCATACAATTTTCATATCTCCCACAGGATCTTCATTCACAATTCTTCTCTCAAAGTCTTCAGGAGCCTCCTGGTCTCATTTAATATTACCTGACAGTAGAAATACAGAAGAAGAATAATAAATGTATAACAGGAACACTCACTGGAATTTATGGAGCCTTTGGGGAACTTACTTTTCAATTTGGAAGATCGGACACACATTCCAGAGGATGCAGGGAACAGGACTTCTCCCTGCTTTTGCAGCAGTGCCCAGGGAGAGATCCCCTCCCTGGATGGCTGTTTTGAAGGCTGGGAATCTGCACTGAAATCCCCTGTTGTCAGCAAAACCTTTTGAAAAGGGAACAAAATCCTCGGAGGCGGGTACTCGGTGCTGAGACAGCCTGGAGGCACTGGGGGCTCATCAGATGAAGGGAATAAATAAACTTGAATCTTAATTCAGTGATCCACTGAAAACAGAGTGTGATAAATCTTCCCCAGGAATAAAATGTCAGGAGTTCTGCTTTTCCCAGCTTTAATAAAATAATTTGTACCCTTCTGCCTACTAGCAGCTGCAGATAAGTTGATTACCCTGAGCATTTCAATTCTTCTGACATGTCCATCTGCCTTTCCAGAACCATTTGCCCCTAACCCTTCTTGTACCCCAAGCCCCAATCCATGAGTTTTCTTCCTGAAAAAGACAAAAACAAGAAAAAAAAAAAAAGCTGGTTGCTCACCTGGAAGGTACAGAAGGATTCCAGGCGTGTGACAGATTGCTTACATGGGAGCAGGATTTATCACTGAGGATACATCAGGAAATGTTGCTAGGGTTTTCTGGGCAGTTCCTTTCCTTTCCAAACTTGGCTTGTTATGGGTACTGGAAACTTGTGTCCCCTCATCCAGTAACGTACTGGGCTCCCTGAGGAGTCACAGCCAGGGAAGAGAGCAAGGCTGAAGGCTTGGACACTCAACGAGAAGTCAGGATGATGATGAGCAGGAATTTCTGTGTTCACTTCCAGCTGAATTTAAATTAAAGCAGTTTTACTGAAGTCTTAATTCCTCCCTGAATTTAAATGCTGTGATCTGGAAAGCAACAAGTTTATATTTCTGTATCATTACATCAATAAAGAGCTAGAGTTTTGTAGACTTCCTTATTAAATAATCTGGCCTAATTTAATTGGAATTTGGCTGGTGTGGAAAATAGCTCTGATTTAATTTGCTCTTGATCGTTCCACTAAAACTTTGTGATCTGAAAGTAGTATGTTTGTATTTACTTATCACAGTGCTAGAGACCTGCATTGGCAGGCTCTCCATCAAATTACCTGATGAATATAAACAGCAGATTTAATTTAGTTTCATATTGATTTTTGTCATTATATTAAAACCCTCTGATCTGAAGAATGAGATGCTTGTATTTCCTTAATATCTTATTACTGGGGTTTGGTTTAATCTTGTAGAGCTTTTCCTTTTTCTTTTGAGTAACCAAGTCTAACTAATTGGAATTTAACGTATGGCAGTTTTGACTCTATAAAGGGGGAAATGAACTCAGTTTCCTAGGACAAAATAGCAAAGTACCCTAATCTTGTCAGGGGCTGGGTGCTCTCCCCTGGATACCTGTGTGCCCTTTGGGGTTGTGGGTCCCCCAGGAGCGGGTGGGTCACCCCAGGGCATCTGCCTTGCCATCTGTCTGGTGCCAGTGGTGCCAGCGTGGCACTGACTCACAGCAGTGCCCTTTCCAGGGGCTGCTTTCTGGGGAAGGGAGAGGGCGTGCACAGAGGCTTTGGGATCCCACGGAAAGCAAATGCTGGGAGATTTGCAAACTGCCCACGCTGAGTTGTCTGAAGAGCTGCTGCTCACCTGTAACTCAGCTGGGAAATGATTCCACGCTTCCAGCTGAGCGGGGAGTGGACAGTCCAGGGGTAAGCAGTGAGCTGGCTTTGGAAACCGAAGGCTTTCATCGATTGCAAGTAGGTTTGAGCAAAGCAACGAAAATGAGTGTCTGGAACTCCAGCCTCTCATCTCAGCTGTGCTGAGGTTGCAGGTCTAATTCTTGACAACAAAGGTGAAAATTCAACCTTTGCCCTGGCTGTTTGTTGGTGTTTTAAAGCCTCTTGCTGCCTGCTGCAAGAGGAGTCAAGCAAGCTCTGCCCTGGAGGCACCAGGAGAGTTTTTCTGGACAAGCCCGGAGCTGCCATGGGGAAAGAACTGGCCCAGGCTGGTGTTGTGGTCCCAGGTGTTGGAATTCCCTGTGTCAGGGAGAGTCTCCTGCAGAGCCCGATCCAGGCTGGTGGTGCTATTTCAGTTCCACGAAAGCTGTTTTGGTGGTTTGACACACACTTTGAGGAGAAGAGGGCTGCAGGAGTGAGTCCATCTGTCTGTCCGTCCATCCCCTCACCACTCCACATCCCTCGGAGCTCGCGGGGCCATCACCCCCCTGATGGTTTTTTTAGGGATGTGGAGGGTGGGGAAAGGTGTCGCGCGCGTCAATAATTTTCCCGGCGAATTCCCTCTGCCTGTTCCTCCTCCCTGACAGCCTTGACGGGCACCGGGGCTGACCGGGGCGGGGCAGCGCCCCGGCGGGCGGGGAGCGCTCGGTGCGCAGCCGGTGCCGGTGCCAGCCCGGATCGCGGGGCCGGTCCCGGTCCCCGGGCGACAGCAGCCGGTGCCGGTGCCGGATGACCCGGCGGAGCGCAGCGGCCCCGGCCATGGGCAGCGTCGGCCCCCGGCCGCACCGAGGCCACCGGCAGGTACGAGCGGAAAGTTTGGCGGGGGGGAACGAGACGGCGGCGCCGGGGCCGCTCCGAGGGGACGCTGGGTCCCCACGAGGGCCGGGGAGCCGCCGGGACCGGAGTGCCAGCGAGCACCGGGGTGCCGGTGCAGGGCTCCGCCGTGGGGTCCAGCGCTCCCCGCCGCTTCCCGCGTGTCCCGGACCCTGCCGCCCGCCGGGGCTCCCGGGGCCGGTGCGGGGCTCGGCAGGGCCCCTGCCGTGAGTTTACCGGGGCCTCCGGCAGCAGCGGCGGGCACGGGCCCCGCGGGGGGTCGGAGCCGCTGGGGCCCTGTCCGGCCACGGCTCGGGCAGCGGGCTCCTCACGGATGCTGCTTTGCCAGCGCTGCGAAGCTACTCGCCTTTCTGGGAGGCAAAGCCAAGGATGCTCCTTTGCTCTGGAAGGGGCCACAGATCCCAGCTGCTGCTGCCTTCAGCACAGGCTGTCCCTGCGGCCAGAGCCGTGAGCAGGACAGGATGGGATGGGGGGCTTTGATCTTCCTCTGCTGCCTCCCTCTCTGCTGTAGCTCCTCCAGCCAGGATGAGTTTGCCTCTGGCCAGCGCCAGGCTGCGGTAGGGCAGTGGCATGGAGAGCCAGCTCGAGGGGCACAGGATGGGCACGGGATGGGCAGGGGTCAGACGGCCCCATCGCCACGAGCTCGGTGGCTCAGAGGAGAGCGTGAGCTGTACCAGTCCCATTCTGGAGTCAGGAGTTTGTCCATGCTGCGGGGGCCGAGGCAGGGAAGCAGCAGTCTCCTGCTCCTGCTCCTCAGCCATCCATCCCTTTTGCTGCAGGGAGAGGCGTGGGGGGCAGTTCATTAGCCTCATTAGCACTGTGGGGCACTGGGCTCTGCAGACCCTGGCTGGAGGGGCACAGTTCCACGTGTGGCTTTAATGGAGGAGGAGGAACAGGTCCACAGCTCCTGTGAGGGTCGTTGTCTGGGAGGGCAGCAGGGAGCTGTTCCTGTAGTGTGTCTGTGCTGAGAACCTCGATGAAGCTCCCACGTGGATGGTGGCCCATGCCCACATGTGCCTACAGGGGGGACATGGACCTTCACAGAGGAACCATCATCTCTTGACACTCTGGTTGCAACTGAGATTGATAGTCTGAGAGACTGGGGAATTTGACAGTTCTTTCAGGTCCCAGCTCAGACCCAAAAGGCAAAAGCAGATAAAAAAATGTTAGTGAAAAAATCCACAAAATTCCAAACGGCACATAACAGAATGGAGAATACCAAGATTTTCAATCAAAATTAAGTGTTTTGACATGCCAGAACACCACTCTTCATTTCACTGACATTCCAGGCTGAAAAATCTCAAGTTAGACCAAACATTTGCAGTTGTAATCTCACGACACTGGAGGTTGATAACTATCAAACCAGCAGTTTCTGTGGAGCTGTGTTTTCTAATGGGAGTTTGGCATGGGTGGGAGCTCTGAGTGCCTCTGCTCCCCTGAGCCACACGTGCTCTCCTGGCCACCAGCGTGGCTCCTGCTCAGCTCAGTGGATTCCCTTTGGAGTGTGGCATGGACAGTGTGGATTGCATTATTGATAACACTGTAATTTATTTATGCTTCCTTGGCTATAGCAAACAGCTCAGCCTTTCTGAGCTAAATATACTTTGTACTGGGAGCGTGTTGCTGTCCTCTGCGGGTGGAGTGGCCAGTGGAGTGCTTGGGTTTTGGTCCAGCTGAGGGGTTTAGGAATGTCTCCTGGACACTCACATGGCCTGGAGGGTCCCAGGGGCATGAGCTGGGGATGGGCTCCTCCAGAAGGACTCAGGTGTGTGCTGTGGGCTCAGGCCTGGTGCCTGGGAGCTGGGCTGTGCTCCCTGCATGCAGCAGGAGCTGCAGCTGCCAGGAAAGCAGGGTCTCCTGATGGGGACCTGCCTGCTCTGGCGGAAGGCACATGGGAGGTTCCTCAGCACTGGGGACTCACTGTTGCAAAAACTGCACTGGCATTGTGTGCTGCCCTCACATCTGGGCTGCTAGATGTGCCCCGTCACGGGGCAGGACAGCTGTGTGCCTGTGGGACACGGCTCCTGTGTGCAGCGTGGCTGGGCAGGGGTGGCCCCACGCCCTGGGCACACACTGCCTCTGGAGTCAGGTGAAGCACTGAGCAGCTCCGAGAGAGCTCTTTGCTTTGTCATTGAGCAAATGGTGCATGCTTTAAGCTGACATCAGTATTTACACCATGGGCTGTCAGGTCTGAAAAGGGGCTCCAGCAGTACCAGCTGTTGTATGATCCCCCTGTGAGAAGCCTCATGCAGAGCACATTGTGCCAGAACATCAGAGACCACCCAAATATGGGTTTACGGGAGAGAGTCTTACAGTCCCACCACATCACCTCGAGGAGCAATGGTTTTCTGGCATGTTGAGCCATACTGGATTCTGTCTGGAGCAGGAGCAGCCCCTCATCCCCCAGTGGTCAGGGATGGAGTCAGGACAGCAAGGGGGATGCTGCCAGCCACTCTTCAGTCTGCTCCTGGCCGAGCTGACCATCCCACAGCATTCATGAGAACGATTTCCTTACCTCTATTTTCTTTTTTAGCATAAAATATGTGGTTTTGTCAATATACCTTTGGTTTCTTCCTGCGCAAATGTCAACACTTTTGATGACATTTTATGATTTTTGTTTTCCAGATGGGAGAATCAAAGTGCAAAATATCACTTTAAATCACCAATTCAGAATGAAGCATTTTTCATTTTGAAATGCCAGTTTAAAACAGGAAAATTCATTTTTAAATGCTTCTAAACAAGAAATGCCCTTTATACCACTTCAAATCACTTCATTTTGATTAAAAATGTCAGCATATTTTGTTCTGGCTCTTCATTAGAGGAGTCTGTGGTTTCACTGTCTCATGGTCCAGAGCAGATAGAAATTTCAAACATGGCTGGAAACTGAAGATTTCTTCTCTGAGAGGTATGGGTTTGTCCAGTGCACTGCTGCAATTTTGTACTGCCCATGGAGGGGACTGTGGGTACAAGGTTGGCACAGGGCAGGGCTACCCCTGGCCCCTGCTGCTGATCCTGGCAGCACTCCCCACCCTCAGTGCCATCACCCCTTGTCTTTGTGGTGTCTTGGTAGAAAGTCATGATCCAGCACTGAAATTTTATGGGGCACATAGTTGTTTGCTGGAGCTGGTTAGACCCCAGCAGGTGATAGTGGAGGCTGGGAGGTCACCATGTCACCTGGCAGCTGCCCAGCAGTGACATCGCTGCTGGTGCCACTGCCTGAGGAGTGCCAGGGCTGTTCCGATCTGAAGGGCTGTAAATAGTGAGGAGAAGACATTTAAAGGGTGCAGCAGTAAAACACAAAACCTTCTGGGACTTGCATTTTTCCCTAGGGGCTTTAGGTGATATAAAACTTGGCTTCTTCCCAGCATGTGCTGCATGGAGTGGGAGTGGTGCCAGTGTGGTGCCGAGAGATTCTCGGTGTGCCCAGGGGTAGCCCATGCACTTTTGAGTGTGTGGTTGCAGGAATCTGGTGTCTGTGCTGGAAGGAGGAGCAGCCCCAGAAGAAGGTGACGTGCTGGGAGGGCAGAGTGCAGGTCCTGGCACTGCCACGGGCTCTGTGTATCCGACTGGCAGCCAGCTGCCCCGTTCCTGCTTCCTGTGGGGTGCTGGCCCCAGGACACCCAGCGGGATCAGCCCATCCTCCTGTTTGGCAGCAGGTGGTTTGCAAATGCCAGGCCTTGGGCATCACTGCAAGGGTCCTCAGTGACACAGGGACAATAACAGCACGTAACCATGCACAGAAAAGGCAGAACCTGAAATGACTCGCTGCTGGTCTGCTCTGGCTCTTCCCACACACACTGGCTGTGCATTCAGTGTTTGTCATCTGCTTTAATGACCTGCTCTAAAGGACCTGATTTTGTGCTCTCAGCATAAAAATCAGGAGCAGCTCTGCAGGTCCTGCTGTTCAAAGGGGTGGGCAGGGTGATGGGCTGAGCTCCTGGAGAAGTTTCAGTGGTGCAATGGACACATGCACCTGAGAGTGTGTGTCCTGAAGTGGGGCTGGTGAAATTGCCAGGTGTCCCCAGCCACTCCCAGGGACACAGTGGCTCACACTGTTGGCAGGTATCACTGCCCATGTCCTTCTTTCTCCTTTCAGATGTGCTGATGTCTGCTCCTTGGAAAGACCTGACCCGCCTGAGGTTGGCAGATGCACAGATGTGACCGTGAATCACCAGTAAAAGGTAACCATCACTCTCCTGTTCTCCTGCTCGTGGGGTCTCTTTCTGTCCTGCTGAGATGGCCTGTGCTGCTGCTGAAGTCTGAGGTCATCCGAGGGTGGTGGGTGAATCCCTTCATCTCCCAGGGCCATGTCCCCACAGCCAGACACCCCAGTCCTCACAACGTTCAGGAGTCATGGCACTGCGTGCAGGAGCACTGGTGGGTGGATCTGCACCTCCCAGCCCTCCTCAGTCCCTCCTCCTCCACATATCTCTTCTTGTTTTCGGTAGAATGAGTGAGAGAGATTTACAGAGCCTGAGCAAATGGGTTTTCGTGCTCAGTCTCTGCCTTTCCACGCTGTGGGGACGACTGACGCTGGCCTCCACGCATCACCACAGAAGCCATTCAGGTAGGGGAGCAAGATCCCTGCTGCATGTCTCGCATGCCTGTGCAATCATCTGGGTCCCCATGATCGTGGCAGTACTTTGGGGTCTTCATGGGATGCCTGAGGTGGGGGTTTTGTGGGGATGAGCTGCTTGGTGAAGTTTTGTCTCCCGTTTCTTGGTGGGGGCAGGAGGAGTTTCAGGCTGTGGTGCACACCAGGAGCAGGTGGGCATCTCTCTGGGTTCCAAGTGCTGACAGCCCCAGGGAGCTCAGTGTCCAGCCCTTTTTCTGGGGTCTGGGCAGCAAGGATGGATGTGCTAAATGTGTGGGGCAGCATCCAGCAAACAGACACCAAGAGGCACAACGCAGTGCCACGGTCACAGCTGTTGGATTGGCATTTGGAGTGTCCACGCGTGCAGGAAACTCCTGGACTGCTCCTTCATGGGGAGGAACATGCAGCCATAGGAGCTGCTGCTAGGAGTTAGAAGTTGTGAATACTCATTATGGGGCATTTAGAACCAATGGCTTGGTGAGCTGGGATGGTCTGAGGAGTTAAAGAAGAGAATTTCTTCATGTCTGTAGCAAAATCTGAGACACGTATAATGATCCATACATAGATCTGATACGTCTGTGTGAACCTATTGTTGTGGTAATTCCTGCTCTGTGGGCAGTGGATGTAAATCTTTCCACCCAAGTTGCTATGAGTATCACAAACCCCACTTGTTATGTGATGGACACTCTCCACTCCACTCTCCACTTATTAGAAACTTATTATTGACTTATTATAGACTTATCATTGTATTGCTCTGGTTGCAAAGATCATCTAGGAAGACGGAACAAGTGTAAAGTGATGTAGAACTGAAAGTCTTGGTGGAAAACATCGTTGTGGCTCTGAGATGTTCATTTGTTATTCCCAGCTGTGAATTTGAGATTTCCTCTCTGAGCATTGGAATGCTGCTTTGTGGCATGGATGCGATTTTTTGGAGGGGTTATGTGAACCCATGGTTGAAGTTTGTGTCCAGACAAGAGAAGCATCTGAGAAGTTGTGCTCAGCCCTTTGTGGCCATCCTCCCTTGCAGAGGAGCCTGATGGGCCAGGGTGGGACCAGAGCTGTGGGCTCCTTGGAGCAAGGTGGGAGGACACATGGGGAGGGGGATGCTGGTGATGCTGGTCTTGCTGGTGATGCTGGTGTTGCTGGTGTTGTTGGTGTTGCTGGCAGAGCTGTGCACCTGGCAGCACAGGTGAACACTTGGATCTCAGGGAACCTGCTGTCTGCATCACATGCCTCTGCTTGGAAAGGGCACTCACGGGTTAATTTGAAACCATTCATGCTCTTGATTGACCCCACACCTAACCCTGTCCTATTTCTGTCATTTTTGGCTGACAGTTAAAGCAGTTCTAATCCTGTAATCCCCTCCTGCATTGCTTAAAACCAAAACACATCTTCCAGAGTGAGTCCCTCAGCCAGCCAGCCAGTCAGCAGCTACTGCCTTTCCCTTCTCCTAACCCTGGGTGCCCCATCCTTGGAGGTGTCCAAGGCAAGGTAGGACAGGGCTCTGAGCAACGTGGTCTAGTGCAAGGTGGTCCTGGCAGGCAGTGGAGCAGGATGAGCTTTAAGCTTCTTTTCAACCTAAACCATTCTGTGATTCGAACTGGGAGAAAACTCTTTGCTTTTTTCCTGGATGACTTGAAGTGCTCACTGAACCTGCCCAGTCCCAGTGCCAGAGAGCCCTGCTCCTCCATGGTATCAGTTTGCAGGGAGCTGCTTCTTTGGGGAAGAATTCCACCTGGGATTAATAAAGCAGCAACTTGCTGAGGTTTGAGGTGCAGATGCCCAGGTGTACTGGTAGGTGTGAATTATGTATAAATCTCACTTGCCCATGAGCAGCCAGGCTCGTGGATTCATGTGCCAGCAGGCCCAGAGTCAGGGATTTTTTGCTCTCACACACTTATCCACAGCAGACCAAGCTGTGTGATTTTTATTCAGGAAAATGTGATCCACAGAAAAGAGGGCAGACCAGGAGCAAACACTTAAAAGTTTGGCTCTGCTCTATGTCTGTGTGAACACAGTTTCTCTCTGCCCATCCTGCCTTCCTGATATTGTAAGAACTTCCTGTGACTGCCTCATCTCTTGGGCTGGGTTTCCATGGTCTCAAAACAAGAATTCTTTTTCTACTTGTTGAGTTCATGGGCTTTTCTCTCCTGTTGTCTACCCTGTTGTTGCTGCATTTGGGACAGTTTTTGGTGAAGGTTATGTTTGAAACATAATGCTGCATAATAACGCTGCTTTCATAATGCTCATTATCAGTGGCAGTGACATTTGTATCCAAGGAAGCTGCAGCTCTGTTTCTGTGTGGAGTTGAACAGGGATAACCTTGTCACTGATGCCTGAGACCCCCCAGAGTCAGAGATGCTGAGGGACAGATACATCCAGAGCTTTCATCCCATTAAAGAATTGTTATTCATCCCATAAAGAATTATTCACAGGTATAACCACCTAAAAATGATCAGTAGCAGAGGAAGGTCTTTAATTGTGACCTCAAACTTAAAACTTTCTTGGAGAGTCCACATGCAAACCCTCTGTTTGCTGTCCAGGGACACATCTGACTGTAGCAACCAGGTCTTACAATAGAATTATAGAATAGCTCGAGTTGGAAGAGATCCCCAAGGATCATTAAGTCCAACTCCTGGCCCTGCACACAAATCATACCATGTGCCTGAGGTCCCTAGTGCCCACCCAGCAAAGCACTGCTTCCTGCAGAATTTGGATTTGGATTTAAGGAGCCACATGAATCAAGCACAGTCATTAGGAAACAGAATAGGAAGCTCCTTGGTGAGGAATGATTCACCAGCAGTTTAACGCCCTGTGTAACATGGTGAGGTCTTCATGATGAACAGGGCTGCAAGGTCTGCATCCAACTCCCACCAAGGTGGCCCCAGCACCTCCTAAAGCTGATAGTCAAAGGGCTGTCTTTGCCTTTGTGCTCATCACTCAACCTGAAACAGAAGAAAAAAGCGTTTAAGTCAGCTGGAATTTTTTCTTTTGGGAAACGAGGTTCTCTTGGCATTGCCTGACACTTACATGCATCCAACTTCTCCGCATTTGTAGCTCTCCACCAGCAAGCATTATTTCACACTGAACATGTGGGGTTGTGCCCACGCTCCCTGAGATATTCAAAGTGTGTCATTTCGGGTTATGCCATAAAAACCCCATGTTCTGCTGCTCATTTAAAGGTCAATAGAGTAGGACAGCATTTTTATTTTATTTTTGCATGCAAGATTCAAAAGCTGTTTGCTCTTACAATTCTTCATGGTTCCACGAGATAAGCTGTGTCTTTTAAAAAAGGGTTCCAGTGGGGAAATACCAGTTAAACGGGAGGGAGAAGCATGCCAGAAGCTCTGGAACTTCTCCCAGGCTCTCGGGAGGTTTCCTGCTGTCGGTGTTAAACACACCATCCATCTGATGTGCATTTTGTTCCAAGTTTCCTGCTGCTCAGCAAAAGGAGCAGCAGCTGCAGGGAGCTCTGGAGCCGCTGCTCGCCCTGCACGTGGGCTCAGCCCCTCTGCTCGCCCTTCCCAGGCGTGGGACATGAAAACTCCGTGTGGCAGGAGCCCCTGGGAGCCCCTGGTGTGGCAGGAGCCCCTTGCCACCACGCTCGGCTAGCTGCAGTAAGGCAGAGGGAGTCAAATTTCTCTTTATCTCTGAGCTGCACCTTTCCCAGCAAATTAAAAGGGCTTTGACACGTTAGCAAACTGCTATTGCATGGTTGTAATGACCGATTTCTCAGCTCTGCCTGGCTCTCCCTCGGCTGAACCTTTTGAAATGAGCTGAACATGAGCAGCCGGAGAGCAGGACTGCAGGGGAGCAGAGGGGTTGCCTGGGCAGCCCTCCCGGGAAGAGCTCTGCTAATGAAGCTTTTCTGAAAATGAGTCAGAACACTGAGACTTGAGGGTGTAAAATTCCCTGGTGAGGTGCACGGGGTGGAAGAGTGACTTCTTGTGGTCCTGGACCACAGTGTGAGAGGAATGTGGGCTCAAGCCAAGGATCTCTACTTCTTCCTCAGATTATTTGAAAAATCCCATAAAGAAAGGGCAAAACAGTCATGTTTGTTCTGCAAAGAGTTGCTTTCCTTTTCACTTTCACCAAAGTCTACCATTTCTGTATACAAAAAGAACGGAATTTATTATTAAAGCTGAATTACTATGGCATTTCAAAGAGAGGATAAAATTTGTGGCCAGAGATATTATTACAAAATATTCCATATAATAATGGTGTAATTATTATGGACAGAAATGAAAGTAAGGGCTCATTAAAAGAAAATGACCATGAAATAGCAATAAATGAAGCAAATTAAAGTCCCAGTGATTGCACAGCCCGTGCTGCCCGTGTGCACAGGGTGTGTCCCGAGCAGCTCCTCACATCCTCAAGGATGCTCTTTGCCTCCCAGCCGGCACTGGAAGCTGGTGGAGCCGTGCCCGGCTGCCGCAAGCCAGGCGTTTGCACTTGGAAGAGCGTTTCCGAGCAGGGATGTGAAAAAAAATATCTGCAAGGCAAAGGGATTTCCCCCCGCGGTGGGGGAGAGATCCCATTCCCCTCAGCTTTCCTTGGAGAGGGAAGTGGCTGCGTTCCAAAAGCTGGGCAGCGTTTGTTGGTGAGGCTGGGGACCTGCAGGGGCACTGGCTGTGACACAGGGCAGCTGCCCTGGCTTGGTGACACTGCGGGGATGGCATCCAGGATGCTCCAGCAGTGAGGCAGAGCTGGAGCTGTGGCAGCGTGGGTAGGGTGAGGCCAGTGCAGGGTGGGTCGGAGCAGCTGCTGGAGCCTCGTGTGCTGGGAGAGGGCTGGCTGGGGGCTCACAGGCTCCTGCAGCAGCACACACCATCCTGCACAGCCCTGCCTGGCCTGCTTGCACCTCCTTCCAAGCCTTCCCTCCTGGGGGCTCGTGCCTGCGCCCCGGTGTGGGAGGTGTCCTGAGCCAAGGGCATGGAGCAGCCAGGAATGCCCTGATGCCTGCTTACCTGTTTGCATTTTGGGATGCCACCCTGCAGGAGTGCAGCTTCCCTGTCCTCTACCCAGCTTGGCTCCTGTTTGCTAGGGAATAAAAGCCCGTTCTGGTGGCCCACGGGACCCAGGACGTGCCCACGTGTGGCTCTGCTCTGCTCCTCCGGTGCTCATTAAGCAGGACCTGCAGGGATCTCTGGGGTCATGGGAATGAAGTCTCTCAGCCCTTTTTGGCTGATTTGTATTGTGCTTGTGTGGGCCATTACGCAGCACTGATTTGAGATGCCAACCAGCTCTAAACTCTGATCCCAGAGGTGATCAGCCAACACGGTAGTTTTCTACTTTCCTTAATATTTTAATGGCACTGGGAGGGGGAGCAGCAGAGCAGCTTGAATTGCTGATCAACAGTGTGACATTTCTGTGCCACTGCAGGGTGGAAACGCCATCCTGATCCTTCTTCTCCAGGCAGAGGGTGAGTGATGGCGAGATGGAGGTGCTGACTGTTAGCTGTGGTCAGAAGTGATGGTGCTCTGCTTGAAGCCAAAAGCAGCACAAAGCACCATCCCCTCTTGCAGCAAAGTGCATCTCATTATCAGCTGCAATTAGCTAATGTGCTCGTTAGTTTCAATGAAGCTCTTGGCTTGGCCGTGGCAAGAGGCGGTGAATTTTGGAGGGTACGATGGGTGTGAGGGCTGTTAGGAGCAAGAGCTCAGATATGAGAGGTGTGGAGCAGGAACCATTTTCCGTGCAGGTGTGCTGGGAAGATGCTGTGCCCAGACACCAGCTGGGCTGGGAAGATGCTGTGCCCAGACACCAGCTGTGTGCCACCAGCAGCCTGGGGTGATTCCAGAGCCGGGACAGTGCTGCACACACTGAGCTCTCCGGGTGCCCTGGTCACAGCTCACACAGCAGCGCTGCCCTGGGCAGTGGGCAGAGCGGCTGAGCTCTGGGCTCTCACGGGGCTGTCTCTCCTGCAGTGCACGTGGAGCCCGGCACGTGCGAGGTCATCGCCGCTCACCGGTGCTGCAACAGGAACAAGATCGAGGAGCGCTCCCAGACGGTGAAGTGCTCCTGCTTCCCAGGGCAGGTGGCAGGGACGACACGGGCAGCTCCCTCCTGCGTGGACGGTGAGGACCCCACGGTGCAACCCCTTCCTTTTCAATCCCTGACCTCATCCTCACGGGTTAAACAGCTGTGGGGTCTCCGTGTGCCTGGCATTAACAGAGGAGACCTGCCCTGGATCCTGCAGCTGAGCAGTGGGGAAGGGGGCATGTTTTGGGGACACTCTCTCATTGGGCACTGACTCAGTCGGTGTGGCTGTGATACTGCACTGTGCAGCCCTGGGCTGTGTGCTCTGGGGAGTTACTGGGGTTCCAGCATCACTGTGCTGGGGCCGGGTCTGCAGCCCCGATCCCTGCACGTCTCCTCACCCTGAGGAGCACCAAGCATACAAACTGTATGTTTCATTGAATGCCATCACGTGCCATGACCAAGGAGCCATCAGGAGCACTGCCAGCTCCTGCCAGCATGGTACTGATTTGCTTGACAGCCAGTGGCCTGTGACTGCAGTTCTGTGCAACACCAAATAATGCCAGAATGAATTGTCAGGGAAGGTTCTTGTTGTCTCCAGCTGCTCAGGTCATATTGTTCCCAAATAGAAGAGAGCCCACTCTGGCTCCCAAACTGGAGCCATGAATCACAAGACCCTAACAGAGCAGAGTGCTAGGAGACAATCCCTTTGCTCTCTGAGTGGAGCCTGAAGCAGGTTCCTGAGCAGCACTGCTCTCCCTGGGAGCGAGGACATTGGGCGTTTTTTTCCTTGGGCAGAGAGAAGGCAGGGTGTTCTGGAGGCAGGTGGAGCTGTTGGGTCAGGCGAGGCCAGGCAGGTGAGGAGCAGCTCCTTGTCCAGGCTCCTGGATGTGAGCTGTGCTGCAGAGAGGGGCTGTGTGTCCTGGTGTCACCCAAAGCGGGGCAGAGCTGCTCCCCCATACCCTGTGCTGCAGCCGGGGCGCTGATCCCTCCTCTCCCCCAGCCTCCATCGTGCTGCAGAAGTGGTGGTGCCAGATGGAGCCGTGTCTGGACGGGGAGGAATGCAAAGTGCTGCCTGACCTCTCGGGATGGAGCTGCAGCAGTGGCAACAAAGTGAAGACCACCAAGGTACGTCCCTGTCAGGCGATGGGGGAGCCCAGGTGTGCCTTCCCCAGCCTGGGGCAAGCAGGAAAACCCAGGAGAGCACCCACAGTTCTGTGGGGAAGGAGAGAGCTCCAGCTCCTTCAGGGCACACACTGCTTGATAAGGACCCACTGAAGCAGAGCAGAGGGTCTGGGCTGTGCACCCCAAAACAGAGCAGAGGGTCTGGGCTGTGCACACCAGAACACAGCAGAAGGTCTGGGCTGTGCACACCAGAACAGAGCAGAGGGTCTGGGCTGTGCACACCAGAACACAGCAGAAGGTCTGGGCTGTGCACACCAGAACAGAGCAGAGGGTCTGGGCTGTGCACCCCAAAACAGAGCAGAGGGTCTGGGCTGTGCACCCCAGAACAGAGCAGAGGGTCTGGGCTGTGCACTTGTCACCGGTGCTGGAGGGGCTGGCAGACATAACACAGCCCTGAGTGGATCCCGGAGCTTTTTCAATTGATCATTCTTGCTGGAAGGCTTGGTGTTGAATGGCTCAACCCCTGAGCAGACATCCTGGGTGTGTCTGTGTAACATCCCAGGGCTCCCAGGGTGTCCAGCTCTCCAGCACCACCCGCTGCTCCGGGGTCACAGGCTGCCCTTCCCAGCCCTGTGACACAGCCCTGAATCTGTCCCTGTTCTCTGGCTGAGGCAATCATTTGTGACAGAGCACTACACGATTATTATTTTCATGGCTTGCTGAATGCCCCAAAGAACAAGGTGTAATTAAAATTTTATCAAACTCATTAGTAATTACATATATGCCATGGTTAATCCGTTGCATAATTTTGTAATCATTGTTCATACTGTTGAGTGTAATTATTCCTTATGCTTTCGTTTTCCTCGCCCCACATCCCTCACCACAAAATTATGGTATTAAGCAATGTCAGGATGTTTTTCATTGCTGCTATTATTTTTGTGCACAGAAAGCACTTTCATGCTGAAGTGTTTTTATGGACATCCAAAAAGGTTCCTCCAACCCTGAGGAGGAAGTAGTTACTGACCAGTAACTACAGCATTACATTGAGCTGGCTGTCTTTTTCCCCTCTTAGTGTTTGGTTGGTTTCCCCCAGCAACTAACTTAGCACAAAACCTCTGCTCTGGCTTCTCTGTCTTGAATTCTCATTGGGACCATTGCCATCTGGAATGGGAGTAGGACCCAGGAGCTTCTGCTCTCCTGCCTCATCCAGCAGACCCCTCCATGGCCAACCTCCTTCTGGGTGCTGTGCCCTCCTTAGGGAGGTGACACTTTGGGAACACAGACCTGTGTTTTCAAGAGGACTTCTGGTAACTTTGGATGACTTTAGTGACTTTGGAATGGTGCCAAAGGGCTGGATTTGCATCTCAGTCCCCTGTGCAGACAGACCTCAGTGGGAGCTGCAGCCAGAGCACAAAAATCACAAACCATCCTTAAGGTGACGTTTGGAACGGCCACTCCATTAAATGAAAGTAAAGAGCCAATCTTATTTACACCTCTTGAGGCTGTTTGGTGATAACTCATGGACGGGAATCAGCTGGATGCATTGGATAATTTCTCCTCTCCTCCACAGGTCACTCGATAGCCTCCATGGCTGAGCAGCCTTGCCCGGTGCTCCCGTGAGCAGCAGGAGGTGGCCCAGTGCCTGCAGAGGGGGGATGCTCCAGGGCTGCCATGCTGCACTGCCAGCAGGACTGTGAGCTGCTGGATCAGAGCATCCACTGCACCCCAGCTTCCCTGGAGGCTGCAGGCAGCGATCCCAGTGCAGCTGCCAGAATCCCATCGCTCCATGGTTTCCTCCTTTTCTGTGGACACATCCACCAACCAAGAAATGGGCTCGTTTTCTAATCCTGAATAAAATACTCCCACTGTGTAAGAGCTGTTGACAATGCAGAGACAGACAGGCATCAGGCCCCCAAAATGGGCTTTAATCTGAATGGCTGAAGTCATTGCTGTGGGTTGCCTTTCCCTGCCTCCTGAGATGCTGAATCCAAGTTGCATTGGAATCAGGAAGTCAGTGGTTATGTGAAGCCCTTCCCCTTGTGGCTCCTGCTCCTGGGGTTCCTAGGAGCAGCTGCTGAGCTCCAGACTGATCCTGAGTCACTGGGGGCTGCTCTGCCCTCGGAGTCTGGGCTTTCCCTGCCCCACTGCTGTGACCACAGGCAGCAGATGTGGCAGTGCAGTCAGAGGGTGTCTGACACCCTGTTGGCTCCCAGGGATGGTGAGATGTCTCCATGGTGCATGCTGCTGGTTTCTCCTTTCTCAGTAATTGCATTAATCAGGTTGCAAATTTAATGTTTTGCACCATGCAAATCCCAGGCACTGAGTTTCTGCTTGTGTTTGCAATTGAATTTCAGACTCGTGTGAGGCGATCTCTCTGTCTGCAGCTCTGGGGTGTCTGGGGCATCAGACAGGGCCTCAGACCAAGGTAGATTTTGTTGTAGTAATCCAAAATAAAGAAAAATATACCACCTCCTGGCCCTGAGCTCATGACCTTCTCCAGGACACACCGTTTTCTGTGGTGTGGCAACTCAAGGTGGGGGAGAATTTGAGCGCTGTGCCCCTGATGTCAGAGGTGCTTGGGACCCTGGGGCTGTGGGACCAGCACCTCCAGCCCTGCTCTGTGCCTGCTCTGGGACCCTGCAGGGGGTGTGCTGGTGCAGGAGGGGCTGGAGATGGTGTGAGCACCACGGCAGTGAGGGGATCACTGGTGTGTTTGCTGCCACTGCCTCCTGCCCTGGCGCCCACCACAGGACTCATTATTGAGACATTTTTGTAATGGGGTATGTAATACCCTCTCCAGATGTGATGTAAATACCAGACTGTGAAATAATAAATTCATTTTAATCTCTGAAAAAGGTCTTTTCACTCAGCAGCAAAGGGAGGCTCTGGGAGTGCTTCTCATGCTGCTGAATCCAAGGTGAAGGGGCTGGGGACTCTGCCCTGGCCATTCCAGTCCCAACCAGCTTGTGCAGTGATAGCTTTGGAGGAGAGCTGAAAGCCTGTTGTGGCCAGCAGAGGCTGAGTAGCTCAGAGTAATCCTAAAGAAAAGTGCATTAATTTGTACAGGATGCTTTGCTGAGAGCTTCTCTTCTCCTGCTGCTTCACCTTTGTGTGGCAGCTCCCACTGCTGCAGTGCCATGTCCCCAAAGATGCTCCCCCTACCAAAGGCCAGACTGTGATTTTAAGGTTCCCATCTGGAGTCCTGTGCCCTCTGAGAACCTAGGCTATCTAATGCAGACAGGGAATCTGTTATTTCCAGCAGGAAACACCAGGCTGTAGATGGGAACATCCCTGCTTGGCTGAGCATTTTCATGGTTGGCTCATAATGTGAAGGATCCACTCTGCAGAAGTGTTGAGCTTGACACCTACATTGATATAAAAACATTTTATTGTCTGCATAATAGGCACCCTTGAAGCTTATTTTTCACTTACTGCAGCACACAGTTTAGTGAGGAAATAGCCCCTTGGTGTCTCTGCTGAGTGCTGACCTCGCTGCTATCACACCATCAGAGTACACAAATACTGCAAATTGCTGCTCCTCTCCTGGCAGGTAAATGTGTTCCCAAGGAAAACACTGCAGCCTGCAGGACTGCTGGTGTTACCTCTGACTCCTGAGCAGCCAGGGAAGGATGCTGCTGCCACAGCTTCTGGCCCCCTGCCCTTCTTCCACTCACTGTATTTCCAGTGCTTTCCTTTGGCCAAGCAGACAAGCAGTCCTAGCAGGAGCAGTAAACCAAGGAAGAGGTGATGGTGATGGGAGCATCTCTGGGCTGAGACAAGGACTTTGATGCCCTGTCCCTTCAGTGCCTCAGTGGGACAATGCCACCTGCACGGCCCCAGTGACCTCGGGCACCCTGATCCCCTCTCTCTGCCTGTGCCCACTGCTGGTCCCTGAAGGACACATCAACCCCTGCAGCTGCACCAGCAGCTTGGGCACTCCAGGGCCCCAGATCCACCCTGCCCCAGTCCCCATCTTGGTGGGGAAGTTTGTGCCAAGTTCTGTCTTGGCACATCTGGGCAGTTCCTGGCTGGGAGCTTGCACAGACAGGATTTGAAGTTGCCCAAGGGGTGATTAGTCAGAGGAAACTGTCACAGTTAACGTAGTTTCAATATCATCTCCCTGGGTATTATAATTACACCCCATTCAATTAGTCTTCAGGGAAAAAAAAGTCTTTTGTATTAAGATTTGGTGGAGAATTATTAGAGAGTGAATTAAAAGACAAGGATTCCATTTTACCTACAAATACTAAAAGCATAATGCATAAAATACCCCCAAATTACAAGCTGACTAAATGTAGAGCTGTGCTAGGAGGTGAAATGAAAGGTAAAATGAAACCCTTTGAGCAGTACAAGTTGCAGTATTATCAAAGAAATAAGATGGAAACATAATTAACCACCCAGCATTATGCTGAAAGATGGCAAATTGAAATGGGAGACAAAATTAGGTGAAATTGCAGAGCAGGCTCATTTATTTCTGCTTTATAAATCAGTGCTACCTGTCAGCAGTGATGCCAAGCCATTCCAGAACAGGAGCTTTCAGGGCAGGCTGTTCACTGGGACCTCACCTTGTCCACGCTGGGGCTGCTGTGCTCTCCTGGATGGTGAGCTCTGTGTGACTGCAGGAGCAGGGATGCCTCCAAGGCTCACATCTGTGGTGCCCTTTCCTTCCCCCAGCCATGGTGCACTCAGGCCACATCTGGTCTGTCCTCTTCCCCAAAAGCTGTGTCCCTTTGCCTGGTGCTCTGCTGCTCTAACAGAGCCACCCTTGTGACTTCTGCAAGTGCTGCTCCTATGGCATCCCACAGGGAGCCTACCACAGTGGCCTCTTACTCTGGTGAGTTGAAGTCCAATTTAGGGCTGGAGGAACATTTCCTTTAACTGTGCTGAATTTCCTCCTCTCAGCCTTAATTGGCTCCTGTTCCCTATAACCTCTGCCCTCTCCACTCGCCTGCCATGGCTCTGCTTGCTCCTCTCTGCCCGATTGCTTTATTGCTGCTTTTCAATGAATTCAAACAAGAAAAGAATTGTCTTTTCCAGAAGCAGAAAGATTTTAGTTAGAATCACCTCAGCTATGCAAAAACATCCCTGTGCATCTCCCAGGCTGTGCTCAGGAATGGAGAAACCTGGAATTGGTTTATCAGTTGAGAAGCAGAATCTGTCTCATCCAGCTCAGAGGTGGCAGTGCACGTGGCTGCTCTGGCACTAGTGTGTTTGGACATGAGCACGTGGCTCAGGTTTTTTTTCATTTTCCTCTCTCTGGCTTGTTTGTAAGTAGATATATCCCTGTTTTGGGGATGTGAACCAAGTGCCTTCAGCATCCAGACATGCTGCCCCACCCCTCCCACCTTCAGGACAGAAGGCACCACCAGGACGTGGGGATATGTGGCTGTAGGGACATGGGGCTGTGGGCACCTTCCCCTCTGCCTCGCATGCCATGGAACTCCATTATAATCACTAAGATAAAAATACACCAGCACAGGCTTTCCTCTGGTTAATACACTGATGGGGCTGTTGGAAGCATTAGATGGCTCTTCCAAAAATGCATCCTCATGTTTTATTCAACTGTGCATTTGCGAAGATGTTCTTAAGGGAATGAATAAAATATTCATTTAGATGCTGCTGTGCAATAAAGGCGGTCAGGGCAGAAACCATGCTGCTGGGTCAGGGCAGAGCTGGCCTTGTTTTCCTGCTGGGGCAGCTGCAGTGGCCACAGCAGAAAAACAGCCATTGGCTGGGGCAGAGCAGAGAGGGAGGATGCAATTTAATTTGTGCATTTCCCAGCTTGTTAATCTCCAGATTTACTGCTGGTATTTGATTTCTGTAGCATTGCTTCATAATAAAGGGATTAGCCTGGACCATAGGTCTGCTCTGATGCTCATCTACCAGGGATTAGAGAGAAATTTGGCAGTTAGTTCATGGGTCAAATAGGTAGAAATGAAAATATGGGTATGGTTTTGTTGACATTTGCAGGAGCATTCAGTTTGTGGTCTAGCACAGGCTCTCCTGACCCATTCAGCATCCCCTGTTCTGTCCCACAGGGGTCCTGATCCTCTCCCTCCCTTTTCACAGGGTTCCCAATACCCTGGTCCCTGTCTCAGAGGGGTCCCAATCCCCTGCTCCCCATGACAGGATAGTTTCAATCCCCTCTTCTCTGTCTCATGGGCATCTCAGTCCCCTGTTCCCAGCCTCACAGGAGTCCCCATCCCCTGCTGTTTGGCCCAGAGCCCCAGAGTCAGGAGCCTCAGCATCTCTCCCTTGTCAGGGTGATGGATGCTGTGGTGGCAACCAGCAGTGCCTCCAGCTGCCAGTGCTGGGCACGGTCAGAAGTGCCTTGGGCAGTGTGTAAAATCCCCGAGAACCGTGGTTTGATTTTTTCCCGTGCACGTCTGTGGCACCAGAGGTTAATATACTACCAGGCTGACCTGGATATGAGCAAGTCAGACATGCCTAATAAATGCGTGCTAACTGAAAACACAGACAAATTAGCACATGCTCCATTTCCTTCTAATGCTGTCCTTTTCTCTGGTCTCAGCTTCCCCCTGTGTGCCAGCTGCCCCTGGAGTCCTGTGGAGCAGGACTGGCCACCTCCCTTGTGTCACCTTCTCTGCAATGCTCCCAGCCCAGCCTGGTCCTCTGAGCCATCAGGAGTGGGATCTTGCAGGCACAGAGGTGCAAAATTGATTTATTGGTAACATGATACAGCGCACGGAGCCAGGATTAAGTAATGATCCAATTAAACACTCCTGGATGTATGCATATTAGTGAGCTCTAAGTCAATCAATTATTTAAATACAATAATACTTAAATACACTGGGAATCCTGTGATTATTACAGGGGCTGATACCATGTTCATTAACAGCAATAATAAATATTGTGGATACTCCTTCTGTAAGGACATTTTTTCTAGGAGTGTGAAGACTGTGCAAGGCTGGGAGAACATGAATATGGATCAGCAGGATTATTACATACACCAGCACCAAGGGACAAAATTAGTGTTTAAAATTCCCTGCAAAGACAAAATGTGAAATACAAAAACTTTTGCAATCAGTCGTAATAATGAAATTTTGATTAGAAAGCCAGGATCATGCATAAGTACCTGAATCCACCCTCCGGGCCAAACAGTGTGTTGAATCCATGAATCCAGCTGGGAATATTTTGGCTTTGAAGAGAATTTTGGCTTTGTGGTGGACACAGGGGTGCCAGATCCATCCAGGATGCAGGTGGACCACAGGCCTGGGTGCTGGGCTCAGGATGCACAAAATTAACTGACCTGACCTGAAGGAGGACAAAGAGGAAGAGGAGGAGGATGAGGCAGCAACTGCCTGGTGAGGGGTGTCCTTCTGAAACATCCTCCACTGGGTGCACGCATGACCATGCTGAGGACAGCAGTCTTCCTTCAGGGTTTTCTGCTCTTTCATAGCAGGGAAATAAGAATATAAATTATTTAAGCAGGCAGAAGATAATTAACTCTAAATAATCTGGACTCTGCCCAGGTTATAGCTCTGCAACAGCATTAATCTCACTAATTACTTAATATTACTAACACATTTTTCAGTGAGTTCAACAATGCGTTCAGTGAATCCAACATTGAGCAATGGATGTAAAGCAATTGATTCTGAATTGGAAAGCCTTGTGGTCCTGCAAATCTGGCCATTTTATTAATCAAGTTATCACTTCTATGGCATTGAAGAAATAGCAACTCAGTCTCACAGGTAAATTTTTTCATTGCAACAATGGGTTATTCTGGTGTTGCATTAAAGGGTGTTCTTTCAGAAACATTAAGGAGAATTTAGACTAACGGATCTCTGGTAAACAGTTA